ATCGCAAGTTTTGTAATTTCTTTTCACACTTCTTAATATAGCTCCAGCCATATTATAAATGACAAGCCATTCCCATTCATCAAGGATACACAAATCGACATCTGTTAACCGGGGGAACGTTAGACCTGCCATTTCAATAACTTCGTTTTGTATCTCTGTTTGTCTTTCAATCTCTGCGTTTTTTTTTGAATGTGCAAGAAAATCGCCCATCATGTATCCTTCGTCAGTCTCATAACTAGAACCCTTTACTGCACTACAAAACTGAGCAATTGTGATTACCTTCAAATTCTGTTTGAAGGCAATTACATTTGGAACAGGCTGAGCCAATCTTATGCATGAGAAAAGATTTTCTAAACTATCCTGGGTGAAACGACCCATTAGAAGAAAGCTATAACCTACTTTATTTAAATAATATTCTTGTAGTCCCAGGACAGAAGAGCAAGCGATGCGAATACCTGTTTGGCACGGTTTCCATGATCCTTTTCCTATAGACATATTGTGAATTATGTATTCGAATTTCCTTATATGATCCAAAGTTGAAAAGTATATATCCATATTACTTTTACTCAAAGCTATTTTCTTATTTCTGCTTGTGATAATGTCGAAGAAATGGTAACTCAAATCGATAAACCATGCTGTAGTGAGATAGGCTGGATCATGTTTATATTCTGAAAGTAGCTTCAAACCGGAACTTGTTTTGTTGTTGATTACATCTTTTGCAGTTTGTACTTTCATTTTTTCGAAATGTCCAGAACATTGCACACTGGGGTTTTTTAAACGGTAAGCCACTTTGAGTTCAAATTTAGATTCATGTGCCTGGAGATCCAAAATATGTGTATATTTTACTTCATCAGTAGGAAGATGAGCTTCAGCAACAACATCTAAAGGCAATTTAATAATTTGATTCGATTGCAGCATAAGCTTGAAATTTTAAAAAAAATGGACGGGATCAGGCATAAAGTAAAGTCTGTCATTTGGACGGCAAGGATGAGCAACCGAACTAACAACATTCTCTTCTTTTCTCG